GTATTCAATCATCTCATTGTAATATTTGTCCATTTCTGACATCTCTTCAGACGTGCATTTCATCTGAAATGTGTGTATCATTGATGAGACTCTATGTCAATGGATGTACTGAATGGCAATACCTGTGCGTTGCTGTAAATGCAGTCAAACTTCTGCCAAGTGGTGCAACAGTAGGCTTTGGAGCGCACATCCCAGGGATAGGTGAGGTGCCAGTCCTCCTTGGCCTCCTCATCACAGCTCAACAGTTTGTCTGTGATCTTGTCGTGACAGCTCTTCACCAAAGGAGGGATCGGGTCATCACTTTCTAGAATAAGTCCCGATATAAGTGTCTTTCCTTTCACTAAACTAATAGTTACGCAAAGTATTAAACAAAACAAATTTAATATACTTTTATTCATTTCAATAATTTTGGGGGTTTTGCACTCAACTGATATTAAATTTAATATGTTTTAAACTAATTCACAAACAATACATTTCTATTTATAATATACTCCTCTTTAAAACATAATTTCAGTTTTGAATGAAATTCATGAGAAAAAAACATATTTTTAAAAGAGATAAAATTATTATAGATATTGAAAAACAATTGTGTAATAGATGTACAAAACAATGATAATATTAAACAAATAAAAGTTAAAATATTGCAATTACTGTATTTTAAAATTATCATTCATAAGATAGTCTTTAAATGTTTGAGAGTACTGTATATTTGAAAGGCAATACTGTTTGTACTGTATTATACAAATGAGGTATAATATTTAAAAGACATAAAAAATTAATTTTATAATGAGTGGTCACTTATTGGTTCACTTCTATATCACTGTTTTATTAAAACCTTTAATATAAGTTGATTAATCTTACAAAAACATAATCCGTAAGAGTTTTACTAATAAATCAAATAAAAGTTATTACAAAAATAGTTATGAAAATAAGTATAATGATAAATAACAGAATAAAATGACAAATAGTTTTATTGCATTCATTATAATAGCAATGATTATGTGATTTTGTGTTCATTATTGCGATTATAATTAGCGCTGCAATTGAATGCAAATCTGTAACCATTGGTTACATTAGAGACGAAGCGCACGAAACAGTGTTAACTGCAATACAGACACCCATTGATATGAATGCAAAAGTGAGGGACAGTTAACACAATGATTGGGTGAATGTGAGTG